AAAAAAAAATGCTCAAATAAAGAAGCCAAACACAAAAGAAAACATAAATATGATTCTATTAATACGAAAGTCTAGAAAGGCAAAACTAACCTACCGTGACAGAGAGTGGACAAGTTGTTGCTGTTAGCCAAGATTGGGGAGGTAGGAATTAACGGTACAACAAGACTGTTAGAAGGTCATTCTCAAAAAAAATCCTGATTCCCTTACAGATATAAAAATGAACATGAGTTAAAGATTTTATTTAACTCCTGAATGAGTAAACTGGTAAGGCTATGACAAGCAATCAAAGGAGATACTGAAAAACAAAATTTCTAGAACAAGAATATTGAAATGAATGTACAAATGAAGGCAAAACTGGTTGCTTCCACTTTGGGAGGTCAAATGAGCCTCTGGAGGGCAGGACACAATTTGCATTTCTGTAGACAAGAATGATTTTACTATTCTTACCTACAACCTACAGAGTTGTAAAGTAGCTCAAAGAATGAAAGACTAGAATCAGATTAACTCAGAAGGCTGTATCAGACCATGCGTTGTTTTCCAGTGAAGATAACGAACAGCACTGGTGAGGAGACAGAACAAGAGCGGATCTAGCAGGACCAGTCAGGAGGCTAGGACAGCTGTCTAGGTAAAGGGGGGTGGGGGGTGGGCCTGGAGAAGGGCTTGGAGCCCAGCTGTAGTGACTGGCTCAGAGACAGGTCCATCCAAAGGAATGAACTTGAGCTCTAACTTTGATCTGGTGGAAGGTACAGAAGTTTGATGAAAATAGGTTGGGTGTGAAATAGAAATCCTAAAAAATAAAGAACCAAGGTAGCCTCACCTTTCGTCTAGAAAAAGCCATATGGTGTAGCAGGTGCTCAAAGGCCAGTTTCTTTTGGCTAACATTTGAGTGTTTACCGTGTACCAAGCATCTTATTAGGTTGAAACACATGAAATTGCCAATGTTTGACCCTTTTGACCAAAAAATGGCAACTTCATCCTAATGAAAATCTTTAACACAGATCCTTATTTACTCCTTACATCTGCAAGGTCAGTACTCCCCCACCCACACACACTGTTATAAACGACAAAAGCACCAAGAGGTCAAAGACCTTGTCCAATGATAACTTATTAATAAATGGTAGAAGCAGGATTCAAACCACTGTGGCCAACTCCAGGCCCAGGTTGTAATCCCTGTGATGCACCAAACACTGGCGAGTACTGGGCTGTGCTGTTGCGGATAGTAGTGGTTTCTCTCAACTGTGCTCAGTCCCCTAAGAGTTTCACTTTGGCTAAACCCAGATCCCAGGTTTTACCCCTATGGTGGGTTTCCTGGCCATCCTCCCCAGCACCCCCAGGGATCTGTTATCCCTGCCCTGAACCTAGGCAGCCTTTGTGGCCCCTGAGTGGCCACCCTCCTAGTGTCTTCTGACTGCTCCTCACTCACCTGTCCAAACACCAACCCTCCAGTCCTGCCCCCCCCACCTGTCTTGTCTCACTGTGTTTACAATCCCTCACAATCCCCATCAGGCCACAAAAATTGTCACTGCCTCTCGGACTTCTTGATCTTTATCATGAGCCGAGCTTTTATTTTTTGACCCGCGTACCCTACACGTGAGGATTCCCCGCATGAATGTCTCGCTAGAGGGAGTGGGTGGTCTCATTGTTTTACCCAGGATAAAACTAGGTGACACCCAGTGGCAGGGCACGATCTTCTGACCACGACCTCACACGTGTCCAGCCGTTTGCTGTCCTTCTGGGACTTTATGATCACATCTGAGTCTCAAGCCTCTCTGGTTTTTTGACGTGCTCTGAGAACATCCTGAGGAAATCGGGCGCACGGTGGCAGGTGTTTCTCTGGGCTCCACCTCCAGCAGAGGAGCTGGAGGAGCCTTGTGGGGGTGACTTCCTGGCCTCCCTCCCCGAGCAAACCTACCTTGAGGTACAAGCCCAAGAGCTGAGGGCTCCCGCGAGGGGTGCGGCGCGTCCCCCGCCCGCCGGACCCCGGCCGTCCGAGTGTCCCGGCGCCGTCGGCGCGCCCGCCGGGCAGGGCGACCCGCGGGAGCGGCAGCGCGGGGCTGGAGCGAGCCGGCCTCTGCGACGTCCCCCGGCCAGGAATTCGCTTGCGGCTACGACGGCGACAGGGGCGGGGACACAGGGCAGGGAGGCGGCCAGATCAAAGGGAGCCGCCCGCCCGGCCGAGACTGTCTGGGCGCGCCGAGGACCCGCCCCTTCGGGAAGCGCGGAGGACGTCCCGGGCGCTGACCCGAGAAAGGCGCGGCGCCCCCCGCCCCGCGCGCCCCCGCGGCCGCCTGTCTCCCCCACACCCCCGCCTCCCGCGCCGAGCCCCGCGCGCCCCCGCGGCCCCGCGGTCCGCGCGCTCCCGGCCCTGGAGGAGGCGAGGCCGGGCGCGAAGGGACGCGCGGGAGCCGCTCGGGAGGCGCGGCGCGGAGCAGCGCCGGGAGGGAGACGATGGCTCGACTGCCCGGCAGCGCGGGGCTCCTCCTCAGCGTGGGGGTGCTGGCGGCGCTGCCGGCCGCGAGCCGGGCGCTCCGCCTGAGGAAGCCGCGGCCCCGGAGCCCCGCGAGGCTGGCGGAGGTGAGCGGCGGGGCCGGGGCGCGAGCGGCGACCTCCGAGGGCGGGCGCGGGGCGGGGGCCAGGTGCGCGGGACCTGCAGGAGCCCCCGTCCCGGCCGGGCGGCGGGCCAGCGGGGGAGAGACTCCACTTCTGGGCTGAGCGCGGGGCGCGGACCCCGCGGGACAGCCCGGCCTCTCCCGCCCGCGGCTGCCTGGCTCTGAGCGAAACTCCCCTGCAGACCCTCCGCCCCCGCCCCAGTCCAGGGGCGGCTCCAAGAGGGGCCGGGATGGTGGGAGCCGAACGCGGCGCTGCGCGGAGCTGCGGAGATTGGACCGGCCGAATAACCAGCCGGTGCAGCCTCAAATCAGACCTGCAAAGCATTTGAGTCCCTTTGGGTGTGAATTGAGATGAGATGAGGTAGTGAGTGGGGTCTTTGAACTTGCAGGGGAGTCAGATCAGCCAGGGACCTTGATATTACTACGCACTTGGAAGAGCAGAAGAGGTCGCTAAGACCTGATGGGCGGGGGACACTTTCTGGGTGGCCTGTGAGTGGGCTTTGGGGGTGCGACTGAAAACAGGAGCGGGTTGAAAAAGTGGTTTAGACGTGGAGAGGAACCACGGTTTGTCAAAACCTGCCTCCTTGCACAAGGGGTCAGCCGTCCAGCCGTTCCTCCGTGGACAGCAGTGGACACTCATCCCATGGGGACAAAACCCTCCAGACTTGTTCCAGGGAATGCAGACTGGTGTGGCAGGGGGTCCTGGCTCCTCCCATTCACTGAGCTATTCTAGGAGGAGGACAGAGTAGTTCTTCCCATTTTCTATATGAGGACACCGAGAGGCCCAGCCGGGTGCAGGAGACTGGTGGGTGAGTGGTTCCCCAGCTTGGGGGGCTAGTAGTGCCTAGGCTGTTGAGGCCCTCCAGATGCCGTGGAAAGCAAGGGTCTGGTACTTGGGGTCTCTGTGGACTGGTATTTATCCACCTTTTTTTCAATGCTGCCCTCCTAAGGAGACTTTTAGATATTTTTCCCACTAAATGCCTCTCCCACTGAAATTTTAATACCATAAATATATTGTCTATGTACTATGACACTTTGGTGTGTTACAAACCATTGTAATATCCAAGATTTTTTGCCCCTAATGTCCAATTTTTGCCCCTTGTTGAGAGTACATCCTATAGACCAGAGCCTCTAAACCTCCACACTCCTGTCATTTTGGGTTGTATAATTCTTTGTAGCATATTTAGCAGCATCCCTGGCCTTGACCCACTAGATGCCTGTAGCACCCACTCCTGGACAGAGACAGACATTGCCCAGTGTTTCCTGAGGGACACCCCTCCCCCTCACCATTGTTGGCAACCACTGCTGTAGACAAATCCAGAGGAACTGAACAGCCTCTGGCCAGTCCCACCTCCTAAGTGGAGATGACAGTGGTCATACAATTAATTGAATTGACATTTTTTTCCCCCTACTCATTTGACATATTTTCTATTTTAGTTCTTACTGCTTTGTATTGTGATTATTTTTTATATGTTTGCCAGATCTTCCCCCAAGACTAACCTAGAGGATGAGTTATTTCAGAGCCAAAGTCATATTCCCAGCCCTAGCATAGGGCACTGAGCCGGTAAGCCTAACTGAGCTTGGGAGCCAGGGCTGTCATTTCAAGAGCTATACCAGGGACCTTGTGGTCCATCTTTGCCTGACATACCCCAGCCTGCTCATCTGAAGTCTTGAAAAGTCTTGAAATCATCAGCATCAGGAACAAAATGTGCCACCCTCTCTCTGGGCAGGCCTGTTGCTGAGCCTCAGTTTACCCCCACAATCAAATGGGAGTAAGAGAGCCCATTCTGTCGGCTGGCCTGCTGGGTGAGAAAACACGGTGCACATGTGTGGCATCGTCGTTACAAGGATTTGGTGGGCAAGGAATGAGGGGGGGTCTTCTGCTCTAGTTAGGATCAGAACACCACCCAAACAGCCACAGCCTAGCATTTTGTGTTCCTTGTCTTGTTTTCCTCATTTTAGGGATGAGGAAACAGACAGTGGGTCTAATAACTAACCCAGGGTTCTGCAGCTGGATTGAAACCCAGCTTGGCTTAACTCCGGGACCCCTGGACACCTCGCCCTGGCACCCCCACCTCCTGGGCAGGCAAGAGAAGACCTGGGGGTGGGGGAAAGAGTTGAGGACTTGGGGCCACAAGAGGGTGATGGAGATGAGAACTAGGGGAGAGAGAGGAGGGAGGGGACAGCATTCCAATCTGCACGGACTGCCCCGCAGGAAGGGTCCCCCATGGGGCGGAGCTGCAGGCTCTCCTGCTGTAGCAACAGGGATGTGGTCCCCACGGAAGGATGCATGTGTGAGGGGACGGGCTGAGAGTGAAGAGCTCAGGCCCAGGGGAAGGAGCCTGCGGGCCTGGGGCAGCGTCACACATATGGCTGGGGTGCTTAGTCAGCACTTCGGTCCTGGGCGTCATCCAGCCAGGTGCCTGGCATCAAGGGCTGGAGTGCAGGAGGGGCGTGATGGGTGGAAAGGTCTCAGCTGCCAGGCCGGGGCACCAAGAAGCAGATATATTCCTACAGGTCGGTTTTCTTTGGTTAGGGTATGCCCACTTCCTAGCCCAGTCAGTGAGTGAGGGTCACGCAGGTGTGTGTGATGCCAAGCCTGTGGCTTCGCCCCCAGCCTCCCCTGGCAGCTGGCTACCTCCTTGGACCTTGACTGTGACCATCACTGTCCCTCCAGACCATTCTTCCTGCTCAGAATTTGGAACTACTGGAGAGCTGGTTGAGGGAGAAAGGGAAGTATAGGAACAGGGGCCAGGAGGCTGGGCTGCTTGGTCGTCCCAGGCAAGTCCTCGCCTCGCTGGCTCTCGGTCTCCCTATCTCGTTCCTTCCCTTTGCCTCTCACTGGGTTGTTGCGAAGATCAAACGGAAAGATGGATGTGAGAAGCAGAATATCCTGCTCTAGTGTTTCGGTCATTCGGCAGCTCTGCACCCGAGCGGCGGTCCGCAAACCAGAAGGTACAGCCCTTGCTCGGAGTTGGCAAAGCACAAGGGCTAAGGCACAGCCCCTCCAGCCAGACCATCTGCCTCAAGTCTTGTTCCGCCAGCCCCCTGGGTGACCCCAGCCAAATTACCTCACCTGTTTGATCCTCGGCTGCCTCGTCTATGAAGTGAGGAGGACGCGAGCACCTGCCCCAAGGGGCATGAGAATTCAGTGAGCATGCTTGGCAACACTGACTACGTAGTTGCGGGGGCGCAGTGCAGAATGAGTAGGTGGGGCCTCTCAGAGGGGTCAGTCAGATGCCCAGCCTGTGCGAGGACACAGGGCAGCCAGCATGCAGCCAGCCCATCACTAGTACTCTCATGAGAACGAGGAGCTCTGAGGTCTCAGCTGGGGGCCGGGAGGGCTGGAGGGTGAAGTCCAGCCCCCTCCTCTGCCTGGGGTCCTCTGGCCTGGCTGAAGAGGCAGGTGCTGTTGAGCCCTAGGTCTCCAGCCCCTCCTGGGAGGCCAAGGTGACTGCTTGCGAGGCCAGGCTCTGTATGCATGGGCGTGGACTGCTGGGGCTGGGGGGAGGGGGGTGCCGGGCTGCACCTGGCTGCCGGGTTCATTATCCAGAGCAAGTTCCTGAGCCCTGCGGCAGAGGGAAGGGAGGCCGAGGTGAACTGAGGGGGCTGAAGCAGCTTAGCGGGCAGGCTCATGCGGTGTAGGAAGGGCTTTTCTGTTGACTGGAAGCACGTGGGTCAAGGGCTACCTGGCCAAGCCTGGGAGGATGCACGTGTTGGGGGGGGGCATAGATCTTGGTATATCTACATATCTCATGTCTATCTGGGCGTTGACACCATTCCCCCAAAGAACGGACTTGGGTATTTGTGCCTGTGCGAAACTCCACTTGCGAGGCTAACAGATGGGGGCAGCGGTCCTGTGGGATAGGACAGGTGTTCTTAAAGGGGCTGGAGCCTCAGAATTCAGGCCGCGGGAATACGCCCCCCAGAGTTCCCACGTCAGTGGTGGTGCTGGGGACTTCAGACCAACCAAGATGTAAAGAACTAACGGTGCCTGGTGACACTCTCTCTCTCTCTCTCTCAAAACCATCTGTCACCACCTCTAGGTAAGGTTCACTGCACACTGGCCATGTGTGAGGCAGCCCTCCTTCTAACTCAACAACCACACAAGACAGAGACTGCTGTTTCCTTAATTTATGGAGGCTGAGTTTAAGGCCAATTAAGTTAACCTGCCCACGGTCACACAGCTCGGAAGTGCACACGTTGGGATTGGAACCCGGGCCGGGTGGACTCCCGCCCGCCCCTGTTACCATCCATTTGGCGGCCAGCAAGATGACAAAAACGAAAGTGCTTTGTGAATCCAGAGGTGGTTGCTCGTGGAGGTTGTCATGAGTGTCCACACACGTGTGTGTGCACCCAGGCATGGGCGTTGAGATCAGCCAGAGCTGAGTTTGAACCCAGGCTCAATACGGTAACCTTGGTGACCTCCCGTCAATCCCTGACCCCGCCTGAGCCTCCATAGGCTCATCATTAACACAGAGAGGGTCACATTTAGCCCTCGGGGTTGCTAGTGTTCGTTCTGTCACTCAACAGTGATTGATTGAGCTCCTGCTGTGTGCCAGGCACTGTGCTAGGCGCAGGCTACAGCAGGAACGAAGCGGACTTGAAGTCCTGCCTGCAGTCTAGCTGGGGTGACAGAGGCACCTAAAGGGCCTGGCCCAGGCTCGGGAGGGAAGATGTGCTCACAGCACTGGCGGGGCAAGGCGCAGGGGGCTCTGCCTGGATTTCTGCAGCCCTTTCTTCCACTTGCTGGTATCTAGCCACCGGACGGCTGTCGCTGCCACTAGGGCCTGCTCTGAGCTGTCACGGCCAGCCTGAGGCACCCAGGGAGCAAATCCTCTCCTCCCCCTGGCAGCCCTCAACCAGTGACCGGCGGGACTTGTAGGTACGTAGCGCAGCCCCCCACTTCTGGGGGAAAAGCTGAGACACCCGATGGGACTGAGCCCCACTTGCCCCCCAGGGTCACTAACCTGGGAGCGTTCGATATTAGCTGATTCCCGTCCCTGACTCACGCCCCCTCTCCCTGCTCCTGTCTCCTGGGATCACCTTCCAAAGGAATGACTTGCCCTCGAATTCTCGTGTCAGGGTTGGCTTCTGAAGGAACAAACTAAGACAGGTGTCCCCCCTCCACTCCACTCCTGGGGCCTGAAACACGGGGCAAGGGGCCCTGAGAGCAGCTCCAGAGAAGGGTGGCATGTGTGGCTGGGATGTTTAGCTGGGGTTTTCTATGGCCTCTGCTCATCACCTGGTCCACCTGGGCACCCGGAGTGGAGAGGTTGAAGAGGGCTGGAAACGCACATTCCGAACACCTGCTGGATACCAGCTCTTTCCCATCACGGTTCCCCATTTTACAGATAAGGATGCTCACAGAGGATATGTCCCCTGTCAGGGTCCCACAGGTCAGAAGCCAGGCTATCTAGGGATTCAGACCTAAGTGGCCTGACTTTAAGCAGGGTTTCTTTTTTTCTTTTTTTTTTAAGTTTATGTATGTATGTATGTATTTAAGTAATCTCTACACCCAGTGTGGGATTCAAACTCATGACCCCGAGATCAAGAGTCACATGCTCTACCAGACTGAGCCAGCCAGGCGCCCCGAGGGCAGGGCTTCTTAACCGCAGCATAGTTGACATTCTGGGCTGGATGATTTGTACAAGGGCTGTCCTGTGTGTCGTAGGATCTCTAGCCTCACCCACAAGGTGCCAGTAGCACCCCTCTCCAATTGCGACAACCACAAATGTCTCCAGACCTGGCCAAATGTCCTCATTTGAGAACCACTGAGAACAACTGAGAACCACTGCCTAACTATCTGCTCGCGAGGAAGGGACCTCTGCATCAGCCAGAGAAGCAGCAGACCCTGAGGTCCTGCTGTCCTGAGACTGTCTGTCCCTGGGCCCTGGAGGCCACAGACAGGGGAGCCGCTGAGCCACGTCACAGGGACAGTTAGGGCTTTGGTGGCCTCGTGGCTGGGAGCTGCCAGGAAGGCCGCCCATGGGGATGTGCCAGGCCTCCGGGACTGGTCAGCGAAGGGGCTGAGTTGCTCTGTTACTCAGCTATCAGTCTCTGCTCGTCCAGCCTGGCTGTCCAGACCAGAGCCCTTTGACTCGGCTGCCAACTCCAGGGCCAGGTTCCCACTGTGCTCCCACAGTGATTAATGCAGGAGCCTTGGAGCCGGGTGTCTGCGGACCCCTGCAGGGAGGGGCAAAAGGGGAGAGACCGAAGGTTCTGATTCTCTTTTCGAACCCGAGGAAAGAAAGTCATAGTGAGAAACTAGACTAAGTAAGCCTCTGATTTATGAAGTAGACTCTCCACACTCTTGCCTGTAGTGTCTGAGCATAACAGTTAGCGGTATGGGCTCTGGGGCGCCTGGCCGGCTCAGTTGGTGGAGCGTGTGACTCTTGATCTCAGGGTTGTGGGTTCGAGCCCCACGTTGGGTGTAGAGATTACTTAAAAATAAAATTAAAAAAAAAAAAGAAGAAGAGTGTGGGCTCTGGGCCCAGGCTGTCTGGTTCAAATACTGGCTCTACCCCTAAATATCTGTGTGACCTTGGGCAAGTTGCTTGCCCTCTCTGTGCTTCAGCTTCCATTGTCCATTTCCATGGGGATGATAGCTAGCCCCTACCTCTGAGGGTTGTTGGGAGGATGACATGAGTGATTAAGTGTTTAGAAAAGTGCCTGGCACACAGATGCTGGGGAGATGTTTGATAAATAAAATTCTGACAATCCTTCCAGGTAGAAATTATCCTCATTTTGCAGATCAAGTTGAATGAGCTAGTAAGAGGCAGAGCTGGGATTTGAACCCAAGCTGATCTGACCGTCCAGACCTGTGTTTTTTCACACCGTTTCAGGTAGGTGGTGGGAGATGGGGTCAAGGCTGTGGACTGAGTCGGGGCAGAATCCACAGGCTCCCAGCCCCTGAGGCTCATAAAGGCAGCTCTGGACAGTGCTCTTTCCGTCCTGTTGTGGAGACCTGAGTAATGGCTGCAGCCTGCAAGTAGGTGGACGGCCACCCTAGTGTCCCACTGTCTGAGCAGGTGAGGGCTGCAGCTGGAGTCAGAGACAACCAGGGTCTTTCACTTACTATCTGAGCAGAAGCAGGGACAGTCCGGGTGTGGACCCCCCCCCATGGGCACTGGCCGGTGGAGGGAATTAACTGGCAGACAGACAGCCGTACCAGCCCCTGGAATGGGCCCCAGGTGGGCAGTTGGAGGAAGGAAGGTAGCAGTGGTCAGGGATGCTAAAGAATACAGCCCCCACCTGGACGGCTTGGGAGGGCCAGTGGCCGGGGAGCCTGCTGGGGGAGGGCCCAGGTTTGCCCTCACTTCCCTGTGGGCCTTTCTGGGCCTTGCTGCCCTGACTTGGGAGACCCGCTGTCTGTTCCCCGGGCAAGAGCATGTGGTCTGCTAACTGCATTTGGAAACACATGCTTCCCTCTCTAGACCTCAGTTTTCTTCATCTGTGAAATGAGGAGGTTGGCTTGTGTCTCTTCCATGTGTAAAAACCTGATTTAGGCCCATCATGCCTCATGTGGGCACCATCTGTCCAAACAGTCTGTGGACATGGCCTCACTCACCCTCTGAGGTGGTAAAGCAGATATGTCCGGATACATAGTCACACGGGGGAGGCGGGTAGTTGTGACGTGGACAGACCCCAGGGCTCCTGAATCCCCCTCTTCAAGTCCACTTGGGGCAAGCCCTGATCCCAATCACCCCTCCCTCCCCCTCTCTCTCCTTCAGGTATCAGCCTTCCCAGATCCCGGCTCTCCTAGGGAAGAAGAGGGGAACCCACTGCTCCCCAGAACGCCTTCAGGCAGGCCCATGCCGTCATAGGTGCCGGGCTCTCAGTGAGCCGGCAGCCCTGAGCCCAGACAGGGCGGCCCCTCCCAGGACCCTGGAGGACACTCCCTTGCTGCTTGAGCTGCAGAAGCTGCGGGGATTGGCCAACACAGACTTGAGTGCCCCAAACCCCAATATCCAGGTGAGAGCTACAGGAGGGCTGTGGGCCCAGTGGACCCCTGGAGAGGAGCTGGGATGAACAGTATTCCCATCCTATATTCCTTGTAGGGCAGGGGTCCTGTTTGGGGTCACAGAAGATGGAGTAGTGGAAGTACTGCTCATCCACTTACTAGCCACAGACTGAGCAGGGCACGTGGCCCCCTGAGCCCTTGTTTTCTAGCCCATGGCGAGGGACAGATGGCTCTGGCAGGGCTGTCATAAAGACCAGACGAGAGGAGAAGCCTCGTGAGCTGCAGGGGCTTCCAGGAATCTGGGGGAGGAGTGACTTGTGGCCCCCACCCAGGCCCAACCCTTTCTGTAGGCTCGGTTGCATGCAGAATGGGGTGGGCCGGTAGTGGGGGGCTGCCCCCCCAGAGGGGCTTTATGGGGCCAGTGGGATTCCAGTTTACGTTCCCTGCTGCTGGTCCTCAATCCCTGACGGTAGTAGTTCTGCATTTTGTGCAGCATCTACAGTTTGCAAAACACTCTCATCAAAAGAGAAAAGGCCACAAAAAAGTGTAGAATCTAATATTCTTTTTTAAAAAATATTTTATTTATTTATTTGAGAGAGAGCGCACACACAAGCGGGGGGAGGGGGAAGCAGAGGGAGAAGGAGAAACAGACTCCCCACTGAGCAGGGAGCTCGATCCCAGGACCCCTAGATTGTGACCTGAGCCGAAGGCAGACGTTTAACCGACTGAGCCAGCCAGGCACCCCTCATATTATTTTATCATAGTCAAAATAAAGTTTTCAAAGTTCACTTCCACATAAATGATTTCATGTTCCTTATTTCCCATCCACCGTGGGGCGAGTGAGGGAACTCCCTTACCCCCCCGTGTCCCCCCCCCAACCGGGGGCCCCTGAGGGAGTTTGCTATCTTTGCTATTATTTTCCAGTCCCACAACGAGCCCCAGGGCTGTTGGCGGCCCCTCTGGCTGGGCAGCCCGCAGGCCCGGAGAGTCACCATCCACAGCCTGCGTCTCTTAAACGAGTGGGTCTCTATCCTGGCCCAATGTTAAAGCCGCCGCGCCTGGCTCCACGTCAGGGAGTTAAACGCGTGTCTAGGGTTGGGTCAAGGAGTCTGGACACCCAGGGGATTCTGATGCCCAGCCAAGGCTTAAATTGTGACCCCCTGTGCCCTGGGAGGCCAGGAAGGTTGGTGAAGAAAATGAGCCGGTTTGGAGGGAAGGGAGGGCCTCTGTCCCTGCCGCCGACACTCGTCATGATCCTGTGCTTGGAGCCCTGCCCTGAGCCCTCCTTTGCCGGCCGGCCTGGGTCTGTCCTTCTGCAGGTGGCCGTTGAGGTGGTGGAGGAGCCCCAGGCCGAGGTGGAGATGGACCTACCGGCCGAGCCCAGCCGCTGCTGGCCCCAGGGTGCCTCAAGCTGGCTGCCCGCCAAGGAGCCCTTCTGGCCCCTATTCTGCGGCCACCTGGAGGGCGAGGAGGGGAGGACTGATCTCAAGGGCAGAGCCCCAGGGGACGAAGAGGGGGAGGAGGGTTACCCTGCAGAGCACGGTGAGAGCAAGGCCCAGGAGGACAGCGATGAGGAGGCGGAGCCCGGGCTCAGGGCAGACAGCTGGGAGCAGGGCTGGCTGGCCCCCGGGCACTGGGCCTTCAAGGAGCCGCAGGGCTCTGCTGAGCGCTCCCATCTTGGCGTTCCCCGGCTGCCGCCTCTGGAGGTCCTGAGTGGAAATGGGGCGACAGAGAGGCCCGAGAGCTTCCCGAGCAGGGGCAGCGGTGGAGACCGGGAGCTTAGGCCTGTAGAAACAGCGTCATCCCCTCAGTAGCAACATTACCCATTGCTTGCAAAATTTGGGGTTTTTTTCCTCCCCAAACGTTTGACCTTCACAACAGCCCTGAGACCCCCCTCCCCGCCAGCAGGACGGACATTTGTTAATTTGATATATATTCGTATCTGTCAGTTGCCAACAAACTGGGAAATACTATAAACCCCACCACTCACAACTGACCTCATTTTCAGACTGTGTGGGGTTTGCATCCTGTCTCTGCCGCTTACCAGCAAGTTACTTAACGTCTCTGTGCCTCATTCCCTCTCTCTCTAGAATGGAGAATGACACCACCCTTACTACATAAGATTGGGTATAGAGGGTATTGAGTTAATGCACTTCAAGTGCTAGCATATAGTAGACTAAATATTGGCTGTTTTTATTGGAAAGCAACGTAACAGCCCAGACTGTCCAGAAAATGCCCCCTCACGCCTGGCCAGCCCCCGTGACGGCCGTTCTTATTTTTTATGCTGCAGTTCAGGTTTCCCTGGGCACGGACCTGTCTCATGCACAGTGGCAGCCATTCTCCCCAGAGCCCTGGCGTTTCGTCCTTGGACGGCGGTGCCGTGATGAAGACTGAGGCCCAGCAGGTTTTCCCCAGTTCACCAAAATAATGTAAGCTGGCAGAATTTTCATGCCTTTCAGCTCTTCATCCATTAATTGTCCTTAAAATGTTGGTGCCCGCCTGCTCAGACTCTCCTGGGAAGTGAGGAGAGAGCTGGCTATGTCAGGACTTTGGGGATTCCACAGAGACCCCCCCCAGCTCTCAGCCCTGCGCAGCAGGAGGCCTGCATGTGCCATCATGGTATACGTCAGGTTCCTCAGGCCAGGCCTGGGTCCCGAACGTGGGAAGTCAGGATCTTCCTTAATATCCCAGTGCCAGGGCGGTCTTGTCACCGTGGCTTTGACTGACATGACCCGCACGGGGGTCCACTGCACAGGGATGCCAGCTGAGGGACAGGTGGGGGCCAAAGTCCAGCCCATGCTTTGTCCACTAGGCCGGGAGCCCTGGCGCGGGTGGCATCCTCCTGAGGAAGGGGTGCCTTCTGCTGATTGGCACCGATGCTCCCTGTGGGCTCTGCTCACTCACCCCTGGCTCCCTGCCTTGACCCAGACTATGAGCTTCCAGAGGAGTGGAGCCCCTGGTCTCCCTGTGGTGGGAGCTGCAGCAGCGGCAGCCAGAGGAGGACTTGGCCCTGCGGCTCCACCTGCACGGCCACCGAGTCCCGAGCCTGCGACCTGCCCCCTTGTCCTGGTGAGATGAGCCCCGGGGCCTGCAAAGGCAGCCGCTTCCATGCTGGGCTTGGTGCTCTGGGAATGGGGGCCTTGTTTGAGGGCAGGGCCGGGGGAAGGGATGCAGGCAGCTCACAGATGCAGGGGTCTGGCCTCGGCCCAGGCCTAGCCCAGATGCTGTGGGCACCGAGAGCCTAGTGAGGGCTGGGCCTCCCCATTGGGAGCACAGAGGTGCACCAGGGCCCCACCAGCCTGGCCGCCTCTCTTCCCAAAGGCACCGAGGACAAGGACCCCTTGGGCTTCCCCAGTGAACGGTGGCAGCCCCTGGCCCACAATGCTATGCACATGCTCGGTCCAGGTCAGTGAGGAGCTAGGCCCTGCTCCTGGGGGTTTGGGGAGAACCTCGCCGAGAGGGTGGAGCATCACTGCACAGACGGGAATCTCAGTTCCATCCATGGAGATCTAGTACATGTTCCAGCTGGAAGATGAGCCTCCCCAGTAAAGGGGCCCTGGTCTTTTTGAGTCCCCCTAACCAAGCCATTGGCCTTTCCCAGCCTGACATTCCTGCTGGAAAGAGGGTCCTGATGGGAGACCACCCAGTGGGGCATATTCTGCCTGGCTGCAGGCTGGGATGGGGATATTCTGCCTTCCACTCCTGGTCACTCTGGAGGCTCTCAGGCAGGGTCTGTGTGGGAAGGGGTGCTATCAGAAACAGGTCGGGGGCCAGAACTCCGGGACTGCTCCTTCCAGCAGCTTGGGAGCAGGCTGTTTTTACTAGAACATCCTGCATCTGCATCTCTTGGTGTCACTTGCACCCCATAAGGAGGGAGGCAGCTGCCGACAGGCCCCCTTGCAGATGGGCCCTATGCTCAATCCTCTGACGCTCCCTGAGCTGGTGGGGTGAGCCTGCGGGGCCGGGGATCTGCCCTCAAGGAGCTCGGGTTTTAGGAGGAGAGACACACATGGCCAGCTTGAGCACTACACGGCAGAGTGTGCCCCCACGTTCTGGAGCAAAGAGGAAGCTAGCCATGTGTTCTCTGTGGCCGGAATCAGAGGCCACATTCCCAAGGGAGAGAGAATGGAGGCGGCCAGCATAGACAGAGGGGACTTCCGGGGGCCCAGAGAGACAGAGTGAGCCTGAGACTGGTGGAGGTAAGAACGAGAATGGACCAATGGTGAAGACAGTGGAATTGCTTAAAATAGTGGTCCCTGCCCCCAACCCCCCCACCTCCAGCTCCTTCCCCAAGACCCCAGCTCCTTCCCACCATCCAGCACGTAAAGGGACAGCCTCCAGGCCCCTCCACCAGCCCCTTGGCCAACATCCACTCTGAGACGTGGCCTCTCGCTTCACGTTCCTGCAGGGTGTGTGGTAGCCCTTCTCTGTCCACAGGGGAGGCTGGGGCCAACTGCACCCAGCTCTGCTGTGGGGCCCTCTCTCTCCGGGCATTGGTCCCTGAACAGCTTTGATCAGCTTCCACCCTACCTGGGGAGGGGGGAGGGGAGGCTGACCGCCTCCCCTCACCCCTCTGCAGATGTGGACAGCTGTGAGAAATGGCTGAACTGCAAGAGTGACTTCCTGGCCAAGTACCTGAGTCACGTGCTGCAGGACCTGCCCGGCTGCCCCTGCACGTACCCGCTGGAGGCCGTGTCCAGCACCCCGTGAGCCTGCAGGATGCACCCCGGGGCCGCAGCTTCCGCTGGAGGGATGCGAGTGGCCCGCGGGAGTGCCTGGCCCTGTAGCAGCCCTCGGCGCGCTTCTGCTTGCGCTCCCCGCCGTTGGTGGCCAGCTGCGCCCTGGCCGCCCAGCACCGCCGCTATGGCGCGGCAGCCAGCTGCTGACCTGGGGCAAGGGCGCTGGCGCTCCCGACCTCGTCAGCACCCACTTCTCGCCCAAGCTGCCCTTCAGGGTGGCCACGCTGCCCTGGATCCTCTGCAAGGGGGACTGGAGCCGCTACCATGCCGCGTGGTCCCCAGACAACGGCCGGGCCTGCGCCGACAACCCTCCTGAGGACGAATACCTGGCCCAGTTGCAGGAGGCTAAGGAGTACTAATGGGTATGGGGGGGGCCCGCTGTGCCCGAGAACCCGCCCGCCCTGCAGACCCCTCGCCCCGCCTCTGCCCAGACCCGGTGATGCCGGCCTGCTGCCACCGGCCCTCCGCCTGTGAACCCCAAGCAGGTGGGCACCCCAGGTGTCGGGGTGGGGCTGGGGACAAGGCTGAGGGGTGTACAGGGTGGGAGGAGGCCCAGGGCGAGGGAGGGAGCTCAGTCCCCGAGGTCGAGGGGTATACCGGGGAAATGTGTGTCTGTGGGGTCTGCCTTCTGCCCACTGGGAGGCGGTGTCCCAGCCTCGCCACGCATTTTCTCCCCTCTTCCCCCTGAGCTGGGCTCTGGGCACAGGCGAGGGCCCAGCTCTCCACGCACACCGTGGTTCCAAGGACCTGTGGCGGGAGGCCCGGGCCCCAAGGCACTACAGCTGCCCCTTGCCAGGCGGGCAGCCAGCCTCGTGAGCAGCCCCCTCCTTACCTCTGGGTGGTGGCACGAGGCCCTCTTGCCCCACCCCTACTGGGAGCCACCACAGACGAGGACTGGGTCCCTAACAGGTTATCCTCAGCTCCAAAGTGCCTTTCAGGGGACACCCCTTTTGTGTAGGGCTGAAGTCAATCTGTGGAGCCAAATGTGGACAGACAGGTTGAGGCGGCCGAGACAAGGGTTGGCTCCAGGCAGGGAATAAGTCAACCAATTCAGGTCCCTTTCTTTGTCCAGCACCTCTGTTCTGTCCAGGTTGTAGGCATGTGCAGGCCTGGGAGATGGCACGGCTTGGGGTGGGCTCGGGAGGCTATGCTCAGGAGGATGTGCCCCATGGTGAACTGGTAAACCAGTTCTCTGGACAGGGTTAGTGGGAAATCAGCGAAGCCTAGATTTCTGTGGTGTAAACACTCCCACCATGGCCTACTTCACGCTCCCAAGCTGTTGTTACTGAATGCACCGAGCTCAGAGCTGGGAAGAGATGCACCTAATTGGCTCTCCTAGCACACCTTGTGTTTCTCCCCTGCCCCCTAACCCCCCAAACCATACATCCTTGCCTTCTGTGGAGCTGAAGTGCTGAAGTCCCAACTGTCCTGTTCACAAAAGCTCCAAAAGGTGGAGACCTCAGCCCCTGGACAGCTGCCCTGAAGCTCTCTGTGATCCTCCGCAATAAAGCACTTTATTTTCAAATTCTGTCTGATGAAGAACTGGGAGCCTCAGCAGAGGTGTAGGGAGCCCTGTTTGCAGCCCAACCCAAGCCGCCCGTGGTTGTGTTTGCGACTCCTTCACCCAGCTGGGCGGGCAGGGCTCCTGGAGTGCAGAGGTTGGATGTAGATGTGAGTTATCCCTACCCACACTTATACGGTGTTGCCTGGGAGCCTGGGAGGTGCTGGCCGGACCTCAGGGGCACATTCGCTAGTTCTTGGGGACGGGAGGACTTCTAAGTCAGCGGTAAATGGCACACACTCCAGACTAAGTGGTTTGCGCCCAGGGGATCCAACGCAGAGTTGCCCAAAGGTCTATACCTGTAAGATGACGGAAGTGGACCTGTACCCTTACCAGACACTGCACTGTCCCTCCTGGCACTTGGGGAAGAACAGAGACACATCGGGAAGTAGGATGAGACAAGATGTGTCCCAAGCCACCACCTGGAGATGCTCAGAGAGCTAATGTTTCCATAACCATCACACCTAGAGGTACGTTTATTAGTCTGGTCCTGGACCACAGTCTAAAAATACTGCAGTGCAGCTAAAATATTACAGGCCCAGAGAGGGCCAGGTGTCGCGTCACCAGATGGGATCCAAGTTCACTCCCCTTCTCTTGTCTGGGGCAATCGACATGATTATTAGCACAGGCATATTTTAATTATCTTTTAGCAGAAACCGTTTTTATTTATTTACTTTATTTTAATAAATTTCCAAATTTATTTATTTGAGAGAGAGAGAGAGTGGGGGGAGGAGCAGAGGGAGAGGGAGAGAGAATCCCAAGCAGACTCCACACTGAGTGGGGAACCCAACAATGGGCTCGATCCCAGGACCCTGAGATGACCAGAGCTGAAATCAAGAATCGGCCACCCAACCAAATGAGCCACCCAGGTGCCCCAGCAGAAACTTTTTATTAAATAAGAAGATAAAGACATCCCAGAGTCTGTTTTCATAGGAATCTGCTAATTCCCCTTCTCTCTAATATAACTTGACACTTAAACACATTGTCTAAATTTAATCTGTACCTAGTGGTTGTCTATTACCCAAACTGAGTTTAGCTGGCCACTTTTTTGATCTGTAATCTAGGTGACAGGTGAAATTGCTACCATGTCAGGCCACAGATGACGGAAGATAAAGGGGGATGGAAAGGAGCCTTGAAGGGGCTGGAGAGCAGGTCAGGTGTAAAATGGTGTTTATTCAAACTCGACAAAGGAGAAAGAGGCGCCATGCGGGTGGCTACAGGCTCAGGGCACAGGTGTGTGTGTGGGGAGAAACAGTGTTGGAGAAGTCCCTGACCCTGTTAAAGGGAGGATTTCAGGCATGGCCAGTGCCAGGCCCAGGAGAGGGCCCCCTCCCCCTGCTTGGGTCCAGTGTTGGTGAGGTCAATGTCTTGACTCTCTGTTCATCCTGTCCCAAACCCCGGGAGGGCATGCATGTGGCCATGCATCCAGCATGAACACCACCACCGCCCAGTCACCAGGATGGTTTGTCCCGTTTTCCTCTGTCTGATGTATCTCCTAAAGGGTCCCAGGTCAGGAAAGACCAGTCAGGTTGAATTCTTACCAGGGTTTAAAACAACCAGTGGTACGAACCCTGCCAGATCCTGCTGACTTCCCTTGTCTGTTGGAAGACAGAACATGTCAGAGCCTTTGTCCCGTTAGTCACAAAAAGGTCCCAAATGTGCTTCTTTGGGTTCCTCCAAAGAAGGATTTTAGATTTTCTTAACAGGTTGGGGTGCTTCTCAAATTGCATCCTGACCTCAGTATCACCTGCGGTATTTATTAAACATGGGCTACACCCCACACTGAGTCAGAATCAATTAGGGGCGGAGTCCATAAAATTTGCTTAATTTAACAGGTTCCCCCAGGTGATTCTGAGTGAGGTGAGTCCTTGGCCTACGATTCGCAATTTGGCCAATTAACTAGCTTTTCAAAATATTCTTGCTCCAGGGAAGACACTTGGGCTCTGGAGTCCAGCCGTTCTTAGGGGACGTTTGCCAGATGCCACCAAGTGCCGGTGCTTCTCTATGTGTCCTAATAATCTGATAAGGTACGTATTGTACCCATTATACAGGAGAGAGAATTTGCCCCATCCGTTAGGAAGGGGCACAATTCCACCCAAGTCCACAGTTATGTTTTTAGCTCTGTTGTTCTGCTTTTTAGGCTCAAAAATGCAATCAGTAAAATGGCAGTGGTAAAACCTGGAACAGTCATTGTCAGCACTGGGGATGTGAACTGTCACTGAGCGTGTCATGGGGCAGGTGATTTACCTGATGCTTTTGTTTTTATTAAGGTATTGGTGATCTCTGCTTCAGATTTTTTTCAAGAACTCTTATTGAATCGGTTGACTCTCCAGCCAGGTATGAAAGGGCTCCTTTTTTGTCACTGGTCTCTGAGGAGAAGGAGTCTGTTAGGAGGGGCCCCCAGATTTGATCCAAGCTACCATCCAGGTTTATGAAAAGGCATCTTTTTGGACCCCCAGGAGGCAGATCTAATGCCAAATTAGATGCTGATTAGTTCCGTCCACCACTCCTTTGAGTAATTCAAGCCAAAAGTGGCTTTCAGGGGTCTAAATGATCCCCATCAGTACTGGTTTTCTGCTTTAACTACAATGTTGTGGCCAAGTCACGCTGGTAGGGTTAGCCTGCAGGCCCCGCTGCAACCTAATAAAAGAGGCAAAAATAGATGAAGGAAATAGCTGTGCCTGCAGGAGGCTGAGTGTCTGGGTTAGCAGGCCCCAACTCCCGTGGGACGCAGGATGCCAGGGCAGGGCTGGTCCAGGAAAGTGACCCTCTCCGGCTCGGGGGTGGCAGGGAGCTGGCTTCTCCTGCCCCATTTGAACATATTCCTGCTACTTGGTCAGTGCTCCGTAAACCTGTTTAGTGGAACGAGGTATTTAAAAAATACTCTTTGACAAGAACATTCATGTCTTCCTCTTTCTGGGGCTAGAAAGAGGCCTGAAATTTTTACTTCAGGAGGGATGCCTGACACACTGAGGGGATGAACCCAGCAACAAGGGCAGTAGACAGTGGTTTAGACTCAAGCACCGGCTCTGCAAGTTATAGTCCTTGTTCCCAGTCTCAACTCTGCTAAATGGCAGTTGCAGGGTCTGGGGTATTACTGAAGAAAAGCAAGATTTAGATTCTTATGCAACAGAAAATGCTGGTAGTATCTTTTCCCCAAGGCTATTATGGAGGTCACGTGAGCTAATGCCAGGGCGCTACTTAGCATCCGGTACCTGGTAACTGCTCAGTAAGCCGGAGCCGTGACCCTGAGGCCCACAGTTCCCTTCTGCTACAGCTCACAACAGCACCTGGTGCTCACCTGTTCCTGCAGGAGGAGTTCCGAGGCCACACAGAGAGGAGAGCCCAGGATGCCACCTCCGCCAGCAGTAAGGTTTCTTGGCACGGCTTACCCCGGAGCACCCCCCAGCCCATCTTCCGTCCGTGAGGGGGGGCAGCAGCTTTGCACTAGCCTGCAGTCCGCAGGAATGCTGGTGAGAAGCTGGCTTCCCTCATGCCTCTACCCTCGCCTCTACCCTCGGCCAGAATGTAAACAAAACCTGGGGTTTGTTTTTTCCCCTTCAATTCAGTATCTTCAAGGGAACTCATGAACACCAGCCACCCTATCAATACAGGCTTCCAGCTGTGCACGTTTTTTAAATTACGTTTATTTAGCGTATGTACACATAAAAGAGAAATCGCCCTCTGATCCCACCCAGCAGAAAACATGCACAAACCCCAGGTATACGTGGAGGGAAGGGGCCCCAGCCCCAAGTTAGTGGTTGGGATGGTGCCATCCTGGGAGTCCCAAGCCCCGGT